GTCAAACTCCTTCTCCGGGATGAGTGGCACTGGGAAGGGCACCCTTTGGAATGCCACTGTGCTACTGTGCAGTGTCTCAAAGAATGCACAGCTCTTGCGTTGTTTTGGCTGAGGCTGCTGGTGATCAACAGGCCGAGGTGCTTTGCAGAGAGCACTGAAGTGACGCTCAGTGATCTGCATAAGCAACACATGTTTTATATTATCAACATCCCCTTTGTGTTCCAATTGCATGTCAGTACTGGTAGAACTTACTCCCGCAAAGACCAGCTCCAGGTTTGAAGCTCGGGACAATAACAAAATAACCTGCTATTTGTTTATGTTAGTAATAAAATCTACCATCAACTACTTTTTGGTCATGGCCCTAACAAGAAGGCTGGTCAAAGGAAATCTCAGTGAACAGGAGATGAAGGAAGTTGACTGTGGATTTTCTAAATCTAGTCCAAGAAGCTGATGGTTATGCCTCAAGTTTTCAATTATTTTAGACCCCAGCTTTCCAAAAGACTGCTTGGAGGACAAAGAGAGAATGTTGCACTCACTTCTTCCCAGGATAAAGGTTTTGAGAGATGGAGCAGAGCCAAACACTACAATTACAGTTTTACTGAACCATCAGAAGCAGCCAAGGAGCAAGGACACATGCACTGCCTCAGCATGGCAGGCTCTCCTAGTTGCTGTCTTCCCCAGGCATCCCTCTCTGCTTCTCCTCTGACCCTGCCTCTACTCCTTCTGCCACATGGTCAGCCCTGTGGATTATCCCATGCCTTGGGGCTGGAAAAATGTGTGCCCTTGTACTGTACTGTGAAGCCATCTGGGGGACTGCAGTTGCATGTGCATAATCACCAGATAGTTTTGAATTGAGATTTTTTGGTATATATATATATATAACATAGCAATGCCACTGCAACTATAGGCATGGTACAGGGGAATAGATCAAGAGTACCTTTTGTACATAATCAATCCTTATGCATTAGTGCTACATTTCTGAGGTAGAAAAAGGCTGGCTTATAAAGCACACCTACACAGACAATTTCAACTTTTGGCATCTTTTCCCCAGTATCTCCACCACTGGTGAACATGTGAAGGGAATGTTGGCTCACCACGGCCTGGCTCAAGGGATTTTATAACAGAGCATCCTAATAACACCATAAACTTACATCTAAGACTTCTAATACAGCAGCACAATTTATTCCCATTCCCCATTTAACGGAACCTTTCTGACTGTTTTCACAGCATTCCAAGGGTTGGGGTTTTTTTCTGCTGCATGAAAGGGAAAAGCTCCCTAAGGGGTTCCTGAAATGCCTTGTGAAGTTGACGTGACTTATTCTATCATCAGGAGAATGATAGGGGAATGAAAGTCTTTTTTTTTTATCTTCAAGTTTCTTAATATTCAATCCTCATATGGCGTAAGCGAGTAAACTCTCAATTACACAAAGGCAAATACCAAAAAATCTGTCAAAATCAATAGAGTTATTCTAGACACCTGAGTAATTTGTCCCTTGGTATGATTCAGTCTCCAAAATCCACTCTGAATATCCATAATAACTGTTTGCTATTCATGTCCATTTTTAGCCCTGTTATAATTCTGATTTTCTTCCATGTTTCACAAATAGCTTAAGTCAGTTTCTTTCAGATGATGCTGTTTCCCCAACTTGGCTTCCCTATGAATAACCTCCATCATCACTATGCTACTTTTGCTCGAATGTTTCATTTTTTAACAATAAACATCTATCCCAGGTGCCTTATTTTCAGCTTCATTAAATGTTTTACTAGTTCATCTTGAGTCATGTCAATATTTACCTTGGACACAGTTCCGTATCCTTTAGTTTCTAATACCAAAATTCTCCAGACAAGCTTATTGTTCCTGGCTTGACTTCTACGAGTCACAGCTTAAAACTTTTTTTGATGTATTAAACAAGATGCAAATTCACTCAGCCATTTGCTTTGCTGCCTGCTGCCAGCTATGCCTATTCCAAACATCCCTGAACTGATTCACTCCAATTTCTGAGCACACACAGGCCCCAAACCTGCACTCAGTTACCCTGAGCTAGTTTCAAAGCCATTTAATAACAGCAATTAGCAGAAGAGAAAGCAGAAACCAGATATCAACCTCTTGGCTACAGTACCACAACAGACCATTTCTACTGACCTTCTGCATCCCAGAGAAAGGGTGTCAGGAAACAGAAGGGGTTGCCAGCTCCTGCACCATTGTATTGGCCCTCACTGTGCAAACCTAGATGCTCTTCTGGGAGACAGGACTGCGTTTCCTCACTCCAGCTGTCTCCCCTGCTCCTGATCAGCAAGGTTGACTTGTGCTGAGCCATGCAACGGATACCTGAGGCATCTCAGTGTGCTCATCCCCAAGCACTCCTGAGCTGCTGCCCACAGAGCCATCCGCATCCAGGCTGCTCCTCACTGCTGTCAGCACACTTGCTTCAGAAAGGTTGTTCTAAACATGCATGAGACAATAGAGAACAAAAGTTTGAGAAATGGAATTTCCTTGATTAGTTTCTGCATCTTTACACTGAGTTTACTTCAGGTCCTTTTTTCAAAGCAGTAGCAGAAAAAAAGGTAGTTTGAGGTTTGATGTATTTATATTTTATATTCAGGTACTGCACTGGAATAAAACATTTTGAATTTTATATTGGATATAAAAAAGAAAAGGTGTCAAGCTGGGAAGGTGCTTTGAAAATAACAAAGGACTTTATGTGGGATTGTTTGAGGTCATTCTATCTGTTGTTCCTGACTGTATTTAAATTCCTCCTTCCAGTTTGAAATGCCTTTGTCACTCACTGAAAGCAGCAGTGTGGATGAGCAGGGCAGCTGGGAACACACCACAAGGGGGATACATGGGGAAAAAAGCACTCAGATTTTTGGACATCTCCAAAGTGAATATTATACTTGTGCCATCAACCCACATTTGTCAAGAGGTGTCAACACAGCCTAGAGAAGCAGTGGGCCATGTTCTTGTGAGAGGGGAAACGATTTCATATCATGCCAACCTCCTTGAGCAAGATAATCCCAGGGGCAGGTCAAGGAGATGGCTTTAGATGTTATCCCAGGTGTGTAACAGTGTTCAGTAGAAATCCAGGATATTAAGCTGAGTTCAGAGTGCAACTATGTCAGTGATGGCCACACATCACTGTGTGGCTGATACATGGAGCTAGTTTTGAAATACCTTGCTTGGGTGCTTTGGCAATAGCAGCACAAGTGAATAATTGCTGCAATGAGCCCACATGCCATTGCCACCATCCCAGAAAGAGCCTATCCACACAGCGAAATGAAGCTCATATTTCTGTGCACCCCTGACCCCACTGCAGCTCACAGACTGCTCCCCTGTGCTTTGTCCAAAAGGGCTGTACTGCCAACAGGACAACTGAGGGTTTATTGGGTTTTGAAAGAATTTGCTCAACTCCAAAGCAGAGGTGGTTATTTTCCTCTTTTGGAATCAGCGAGAATCAGAGATAGAGATGTGAGCTTGAAATGGGGCTATTCAAATTCCTCTCTCTGCCCTATGTCCCCTGCACATAAACTCCAGTGGAGAAAAAAGCAGCTTGAGAGACCACTGTCTCCCACAAACACATGGAGCCAGAAGATAAAAGGGAATGGTTGAATACTAGATTAAATACAAGTTTCATGTAAATGATCACTTACAGACACCTAATAAATGATTCTGTGCAATGCACTGTCAGAGATCGTGCTCTACCATTTTTGTTTTGCATATGTATTTAGGAGCCTTTTCCCCTTAGAGGATAATGTTCAGGTTTTAAAATTTATTTTAATCTATCACTACATTCATCTGTCAGTCTGTGAAAGGGCTTCTTTTTTAATAAAGTGTCTTTTTTTTCTTTTTAATGTGCTCCTATATCAGAATGGAGTATTTAGGATAAGCTCTTTCAACTGCAGTACTGCACAGGATGGGATGACATGTAGGAAGGCAGCTTTTTATAGAGTATGACCTCTTTTGACCCAAACAACTAATCAGAGTTTTAGAGTTTTTGTATTTACCCTGGATGGGGACTGTCAAAGGGTCTTCACTGCAAATCCCTCTGCTCCTAAGCACAGTCTTCATTTCCAGAGCAAAGCAGGAATCCACCAGGGACAGAGGCTTTGCTGACAGACCCCCAACGCTTGTTGGCAAGAGTGTTGGCCCAAAAGCTCTCAGAATGAAGTTTTAATTTGATCTGGGTTTTTTTCGGTTGGGTTGGGTTGGGTTTTTTCCTCTCCATTATGCCAGGGGTGCTACTCTAAAAAAGCTACAAATTGCTCCTTTCAGAGCAAAGGTTTTTGTCAGGCTCTGCTAGGCACCATCAGATCTCATCCCCCCCATCCATCAGCTCTCCATCCCACCTTCCAGCTAGAGGGTACCTCAGGCACCATTCCCACCCTCACCTCCTTGTCTGGTGCAGCTGAGAAAATCCCCCTCCAAGGTCCAGCCAGTGTGCTGACTGAGGCACAGAGATCAGCTCCATCCTTCCATCTCTGCTTGGAATACGGACTGGAGAGAACAATACAGGAAGAGACTACAAGGAACACAGACTGCCGAGGATCCCCATCCAAGCCTCACATTCCATGTCGTTGCTGTCCTGGACAGCCACCTGAGCCAGCTGCTCACCCAGGGTGTCACTCATGTCTGTACACTCAAGCCCCTGCAGCCCCAGAGGACGCCCTTCTCTGCTCTATGCTGTCTCAATATTTCGTTCCAAGCTTTGTAGACTTGTGACCAAACTAACATCAGGTTACTGTGCTCTGATCAATCAGTGTGTTTGCTTCCTCTCATTCACTCTTTGCCTGTATACCTTCGATTATTTTTTCTCGCAATTATTTTCTCTTCACATCAAAATCCCTGGAAGCATTACAATAATTTTTTCCTGCTGCTCAATATGAGCATTTTATTTGCTAAAATCCACTTGACCTTTTGAACAGCACAATGGCTTTACAGGTAGTATTTCACACAGGGCCCATGATTTCAGTGCTGATTGCAAGACAGAGACATGCCATCCCACCTGTTTGACTCCTGCTTTCCCTGCAGCTCTGGGAATTTCCATTTCACTCATCTTCATTCCCACCAGCCGTCCTGCATTTGGCCACATGATTGCTTTCCTCCTGGAACAGAGGGGACAGTCATTCAGCCTGCAGGTCATACCTAGATTATCTTTAATCACTGTGCAGCTTTGCTGACCGCAATCTCATTTCTTCTTTCAGAATATGGGAAAAACCCTCCACAAAAAGACAGGGAGTGCAAAGATGCTTCTGAATTAGTCACTGAAAAAAGGCTCAATTCTTATTACCAGTCTCTCCAATGGAAACACAGGGTGACTCCAGTAAAATCAGTGGGACTGCAATGGTGTAGCCAAGATCCAGATCAAGATATAGGTTTGGGAATATGCTGCTCTGAGCATTTCTTTTTATTAGACATCTCACCTCCTGCTTCATGAGTTATTTTGAAGGTTTACTGTATCCAAGTAGGAGCAGGAGTTCAGATTATGAACTTTGATCACTCATGGTTTATTCAATATTTTTAATAAAGTTTGAAAAGGTTCCCTTCCATCAAAGAATGTCCCCTTTGATTAATCAATTGAATTTGATTTTTCCTTCACAGAGAATACAAAGCAGTGTACTCCTTTGCCAGTTGTTTACAGGCAGCTTTACAGCACACAACAGAACAATTATTTTCTAAATATAAGAGCTGTGATCAGAAATGTTAATAAACTACTCGATAATGCAGCATCTTTTCTTTCCTTAAAAAAAAAAAGCCAAACAATAAGGACATATCAAGCTATTTTTAATACAATCTACATACTTTCCAAATAACATATTCAGGAAACAGAGTCATCTTAAATGGCCTTCTTCACATTTACAGCTGTAACAGCTGCAGTAGCAGCTCTGTCTGACTTGATTTTATTCAGTGTGCAGGATCAACATAAAATCTAGGCTGAAAATTAAAGGGAGTAAATGTCCCCCTGACAGTCAAGAGAACGGTTTTGGTCCAAGAGTATTTCTGGCCACAACTCACTTTCAAAAGCAGCTTTGTCATCTGTGCCTGGCGTAGTCCCAATAAGTACTATTATGATTTGTTACATTTTCTATAGAAACGGGAGGCCATTTATTAGCCCCAAGGTATTGTAATGAGCTTCAGTTATGTAATAGGCATTATCCTGCTGAATATCCGAAGCTTTGTAAGAAAGTTTTAGTTCTGGAAAGAAATGTACAAGGTTCTTAAATGATTTCGAGGAAGATCAAACTCCCCCTTTTTTTTGTTAGTTGAAAGAGGAAAGGTCCCTTCTTGATATACATCATGAAAAATTTGAATAGACTTTCTTCTAAAGAAAAACTCCTTTTTCTTTGAAAGCCACTGATAGCTTGGGATTCAAGCAGAAAAGAATAAAAGAAGAAAGAATAATTTCTTCCTAGAAGAGAACACGATAGGTATGCTGCCAAATTAGCAAGATTTTAATTTAATTATAAGCGAGGAGTGCACGTCTGATTTTCTTGCTTATGAGCGAGGAACAGGGGTCTCTCCCATGCATGGAAGAGGAGGGGGCAGGTCCTCAGCTGGGTTAAGCCCTCCTAAGGCTCCCTTGGTGCTGTGTTCACAGCCCATGCACAGCCTGTCGAGGCTGCCCTTCATGGTTCAACAATGCAAACAACTGACACCTAATCAAATCCCAATAATTCCGGCTCCCCTGAGCCATCTGCACCTCTCAGACTTGTCAAGATTAACTACCATAAAATAACTAGTTAACTAGTTACCTGACATCCACAAAATACCTGTTACCTGACTGCCGTAAAGTAACTAATAACCAGTCATTGGGCATCACCCTCCTTCTATTGTCCCTTAGAGTTTGTTTAAAAGAACGTATAGATTTTAAAAAGCACTGACATCTAAATAAAAATTGATCAGCTCCAAGCAATTTCACCCTTCACAAGCCATTTTACATGATTGAAGGCTTTAGCTCCCAGTTCTCAGAGGCTTCTCCAGCTCTCAATCACATATGAATTTTCCCCTGCTCTCTGTCAACAACAGCCAGACAGAGAAGTTCCTGTAACTACCAGGTAAAAGTTAGTCCAGCTGTTGCATCTGACTTTTAATATTTTTAAACTAATAGCAAATACCCCCAATGCACACAATGCAAGTACAACACACACATGCAACAGCTGCTCTGCCTCATAGTAGTAAATGCAGTTACTCCTAGGTATTCTAAGGAAATGGAAAAGCCATGTTCCCAAGGCTGACAGATTTCTGAAATGATCTTTCTCTAACGTATACTCAGTTTAACTGGTATTTTAGTAAAATGACTCTAGCTTTATGCCAGCTGAATAGAAAGCAGAAAGTAAATCAACAAGCTTTTTTCAGATAGAATTCAGTATCTCAAAAATTCACAACCAAAGGAAATGTGCTGCTGAGGCTGCAGACCTATTACAAACCCAACCAATTCAAACATCACTGCTATGACTCAGTGTGACTACAGCCACTGCATAGGAAGCATAGGTGTGCTTGCATCTATGTTTTGCCCTCTGTGAGGGCAAGGAAGAAGAAAGAAGGGGACAGCAATAGGTTTTAACCACAACCATGCCACCCCCTGGTTATTTTTGCAGTATAAATGAGTTATGTATGGATGAGATGCATTTGCATTTCATTCACCAATTCCATGCAGAGAAGCAGTTAAGCGCCTTTATTTTTCACAGTAAGAGAAAAGAAGCTGGATTCCCAGTTTATCTTAAAAAATGTGAACTGAAGTAAAATGCATGTGCAAGTAGCGTGTTTCTTGCATCAAGGGAAATAAGGCATCAAGCCAGAACCAGATCTTGTTTGCCACTATGTAAACGATGAGTAAGTCTGGTAGGGTCAGCAGAGCAGCAGCAGAGTCACATGAGTCACAGCACGCTGCTCTTTGGAAAGATTGCTCCATGGCTAAATATACCATTACAGTCGCCTCAAGAAAAGCTCTGTGTCAAGTTCTAATAAATGCTGGCAGTGATGCTGAGCTCTGAGCAACCATAAAGCCAAAAGGATGAATAGGAATTAACAAGTGGCCTTAAAAACATATTGAAGAGAATGGGAGTTTTGTCTGTGCAAGAACTGAAGAATGGTAGTGAAAATCACGACCTAACTTTTCTGCCACTCAAATTTAGCCACCTTTCAGATGGGTCTGGGGAACAAAAAAAGTAGAAAAGGAAACAAAATTTTCATCAGAATTGAAGCACTGGAAATACTGCCAATCTCAACAAAGTCTGTACAAGTTAGCACTCAACTACGTGTAAACACAGAGTTAGTTTCACTATAATTTTTACCAGGTTTGTCTCAGTAAATAATGACTTGCTCCTCCCAGGGATATGCATTAAGGAATCTACAGTTATCAGTGAACAGGGACAGCCACACCAACACAAACCAATCCAACATCCCATCTCTGTGATCAAGCAAAACAGTAATTCCAATAAATATCCCTTATATCTCCATCTGATACACACAGTGCTGAATCCGGAAGAGCGAGAGCTCAATAAACTATAAAAGAGATGCCCTTTGATCTTTTCTTTTTTCAGTGGGGTCATAATTTAGTGCTACCACAACAGTAGTTTCAAGTAACTAAAACTGCTTATCAAATGTAGGTTTGCATTCTCTATCAACAAAGTCCTGAATTAGAAGAGATTTCATAATTCCTTATGAATTGCTCTCCTACCTAGTCTTTCCACTGGAAGTCTGATTAAATGAGTATTATTTCTTCTTAAGTGGTTTTACAGGTCGTTTATCTTAGATTTATGAGTATCAACCTACTTTAGAAGGTATTAGATAGCTTTAACATTTGACACGTATTCTCTAAATCATTTACAGTGCTCTCCATTTGCACTAGACGATCGGTAATCTTCTCAATATTAGGTTTTATTGACAATGCACCATATAGAGTCCTTATTATATGGTAATGATTTAAGATAGGTGCAGGACTGGGAACTAATAAATCCAAAAGCTCATTTTTGATTGTTGACACAGAGCTGAGGAATAATGTGCATCCACCTAAATCATTCTGTTTCTCAATAACATCACACACATACGTGTTTAACCCATCTGGAACATAACGCAGGGATGTGCAAACAGATCCTAATTCTTGCCTTGAGCCTGATGGACTTGTGTTTAAAGCTCTGTATGTACTCAGAGAAAACCACCAGCGGATGTGAGAGTACCCTGCAGAGTGGAAGCACCTGCATCCACCTTTCAGCATGTGGTAGGAGGAGCAGGGGGCTCAGCCTGGGTCTCCTGGCTCCTGAGCACATACCCAGCTCCCCCAGCTCATCACACACTCCTCCTGCTACTTCAGCTCAAGCACACCTCTGTCATATCTGAGTCATGCCAAGGTAAACATGCCTGCTGAGATCAAGAAGCATTTTGTCTGAGTAGGGAGTTAGTAAAACCGAGATTAAGGGCTTAAAAACCATCCCTGTAATTTATATTTGGGAGACAATATTGAAAGCTGACATATATAACAAAGACATACCTTCATGTAGCCCTACACAGTAATAATTTCACAGAAATATTGGCATTCATAGTAACTGAATTCACATGAATAATTGATTTGACTACTTCAATAGAAGATCAGCCCCCATATCTATATTACTCAGAAAATTAGAGCAGAAAATAAAAAAGTTAAAGCGAGAGTCTTTGGTAGCGAATGAACATCTCTCCACTGAGTTCTACAGAATTAAAGTCTCATCTGCAAGCCTGTAATCCAAAGGTATGTCTTTGAAATGCAGTCCAGAGATCTGTATTAGTCCTGCTTTTATAGTATGTCACTGGAAATGGTTTCTGGGTGATCCGGCCATTTGTTAACTTGAAATGTGACATTTCAAAAAAAGGCTGGAATGATCTCGGAGCAAAACCAACACAAAAATCTGAATCCCTCTTTTATCTAAACAGCCACCTGGTAAGGAAACTCTAGTGAAAAGCTGGTGTTAGTGGCAAAACTGCTCGGTGACAATTACACACAACTGTAATTGTGAACAGCAGGGAAGTACAGGAAAGAGGCGGCTTTCTCTCATCTTGCTCATTCAGAGAAACAATCCAAAATCCTACCTCAGGCTAGGGGCTTGGCACGCCCAGTCAGCTGTTTACAAATGAAGTCAGTAATAGAGGAACTGGTCCTACTAAACACTGAGCACCCCAAACTCCAATCAATATAAAACGTGTCATTCAAAGCAATGCAGTGAGCATCACTGTTACTTTGTCTTTGGCAAGACCAGGCACAGATTTACTGGGAGAAACGAGGAGAAAAATATACTAAACCCAAACCATTATCCTCCCCAGTGCCATACACACACTTTTGCCCTCAACACAAGGGACTGCCTGCAACACCCCACCTACTACTGAACTCTCAGGCCATTTACTAACGTGCTGCCAAACAGCAGAAACATCACAAGTTCCATTTTCCTCATTAGTGGAGCCAACCGCATTCTGCACTGTGCCTATCTACATATTTTGAAACTTGTTTCATTCACTCAGTCCCTAAATCAGCAAAATTTAGCAATCTTCAGCATGTCTCTGCAATGAGTGAAATTTCTTTTACTACTGGGAAGAAGGGAGGAGGTCAAGAAGGCTTGGGAAAATTTGTTAGCATGATATGTAATATGAATTTGGCAGAAAAGAAATTGAGAACATTTCTTTGGAAAACAATCAAAGGGCAAAGTTTTCCTCTCGGAGTTGTGTGGTAATTCATGACTTAAATGCTCCAAAGAAATTTGCTCTGATGATTAGAATAGTAAACTATTCGCTGTCTGCCTGACAGACCAAAGATGGTCATTTTTCCTCCCTTTGTCAGTATCTTTCTGTTCAGGCAGGGCCATGTGTGTGTCCCTTGACACACAGATAAAGATTGAAGGATGCATCTCTGCTACAGAGGATTAATCCAAGTTAGATACGGCATGAAATGAAATGACAAACAGTAACTACGCAGGTAGCGAAAATTGTGGCTCAGTCTTGCATAGACTGACACGTGCTCTCTTACCTGGATCTCAGCTGCTCTTGCTGTATGTGAAAACTCAGTGTCTTCGTGGTTACCCACTCACTCCATCTCAACACACACAAGCGACCAGCAAAGCTGAGGATCTTGAAAGCCTCTGAGATGAGGAAACTTGAGCCTCCGGTATCCACTGCAGCTGGGGTTAATCAATGACACAAAATTACAGTGTGGAACTTCTTGCCATTGAATAGTGGGGTGGGCAGGGGCACAACTGAGGTCAAGAAAGGACTAGAAAAACTCACAGAGATCATGTCCTTTGATTTCAACTCACCACAGAGTTTGGGTGCATACTTTGGCTCCACAAGTTTCTAAAGCACCAATCCGTGGAAAGGTGTGCCTTCATCCAGTGGAACAGGATGCCCTGCTCCTATACTCTTCCCTAAGCTTCTCCCATAGTCAGTGCCAAAAGAAGGACCCTTGGATCCTGCTCTGTCCCAATATGACATTTCTTATGCTACAATCAATGCAATCATAAAACTAGACAGGAAAATTGTCTTGATCGGAGTTTTAAAGACATGATATTAAAATGTCAAGAAAATGTTGCGTGAGACCTCTTCTGAAAGGGCTAAAAATAGATAAAGTAAAACTCAAAATATTCATGTAGACCAACCTCAGTGAAGAGAGGCAAAATCCTGAGGCCATCTTTGCAGCTACTGAAGGAACAGACTCACCTAAAAGGTGCTTCAACCAACCTGCAGAGACTCCTGCCATGAATATCTACACCCACATCAGCATCCCAAACTGATACAGCTTCTTCCAGAAACAGAAGTACCATACTCATTTAGGTGAATAACTTTTTTGGACCATTCTTCCTCACAGCCTCCTGCTGTCAGGCCACAGGTCTCTCCTCTTGTTCCTCCTACCCCACCTGGCTGGGGTGCTTGTAGCAGCTCACCTTTTCCTTTTTCGTAGTTTGAATCAGCTGCAGAAACACTCAAAAATATATTCAAAATACACACAACTCCCAGCAGGCCCAGGCAACCCTGTGAGTGCAGAATTCTGCAAGAATGAACCTCCCATTAAATGCACCCTCTGTTGAGTCAGCGACAGCACAGGCTTTAAAGCAGCACCACTACGCTGTAAAGCAGTCCACTATGCAAAATGTCAAGTTGTTTCTACCCTGGAAATATATTACATTCCGTTCTTTCTGCAGCATTACTAATTCTATGTCCTGTTTAACGCTCTGCATCTGAATGGGACTCTCAATTACATGAGTCACTGCAACTATCCTTTGATTGGTTTTTTTTGGTACATGTGATCTGAATCCTCAACTGCTGGAGCCCAGAGCTTGCTCTGCACACTCAAAGGGCTACAACAAAATGGGCTGAAATGCTACATTCAGTTTTGAGTTGCTCGTGCTTGGTCACTGCTGTCACCTCCTTGTGAGGGGTGGTGGAGGAGCGGAGGTGCTCCAGAGGTTGTTCAGGTAAGTACAACAGGTACACCTGGAGGGATGCATTTGGGTGATGCTGAATTCAGCCAAATGAGGAGCCTGATTTAAACAGGCCAATGCTGACTTTGCCCATGTTTTGTGGTCAGGTTGGCAGTGGAGGTTATTGAAGAAAATGTCTTTTTCTCACTTGCGAAAAGCTGAATTTGAAGCCTACACACAGTGGCTTTTCTGGGAAAGCAAGTTTTCGAGGAATGCCAATAACAATTTTAGGAAGGAAACAATGTGGTAATTTTCAAATTCAAATCAAGTTTTGGCACAGAAGAAGGGAAACAAGGCTTGAGAAGAAAAGGTCATGACAAAACACTATGAAACAGGTAAAAAACTGTTTTCTCTTTTTGTCTCCTTTCCCAACATCTTCAAGCCAGCTGCTTACTAGAAAACCTGCTTTCCATCTAAGCTTCCATCACTCTGTCAGTATAATGCAGGAAAGCACTGCCTGAAAATAGAGCTTTTCTTTTACTAGAGGATAATTACTAGTTGTTCACTCTCTCATTATGAAATGCTAGTAAAGACCAGCATTTTGCCATGAAAATGCTAAAAAGCATCAATATTATACTTTATATAGGAAAAAATACACTGTTTCATCTGTCCTCTGACCCCTGGAAAACCACCAAAGAAGGTAGAACATGACACCTCTTCCCTTCATTTCTACAAGATCTGATTTAAATCGAGAGCTCTGCAGGGTTGGAACCCGTTAAGAACTATGTGCATTGTAAAGAACTTTGTTACACCAACAGTGTGGCAAAAAAAATAACCAGAGATTGTTACACCAAAGCCTCAACTGTAGATTCCAGGAATGACAGCATAATTATTTTTAGAGATGACTATAGCAGTAACTCAACATGACACGAGAGGCTGGAGAAACAGCAAGCCTGATTTAAACCAATGGAAAAGCCAGGAATGCAGAATGGAGACTGTTCTTAATGCACCATATTGCATCTGAACATTTTGTTCCTACCCATCTATCCAAAGCATGACGTTTTGCATTTCATATTAACATTCTGAAGACATTAAAGGATTCTTAAATTCCATGTTCATATGCTGTGTCAGAACACGCACTCTGACTGCTTAGAGAGGTACTACGTCTACCTTCTACTCATCCTCCCCCCTTCAGCCTCTTCACCATCCTCCTTCCCACTCCCAAAAATCCCAGGGGCTATTTTTTATTGGTAGCATTATTTAGTTCAGCAGAAAGATGGTTACAAACATAGTTTGTGGGATTTGGACTTCACTTTGGATTTCTGCACTACCTCAGCTGTTATGCATATGTAGTGACTGCTAACAAATCATCACAGTATTACTTGATGTTCATATACAATTTCTCATCTTCAAAGCACTTTAAAATTTCCCAGAGGTTCCACAAAATCTGGGAGAGAGAGAGAGAAAGAGCTATGGGCAAAAGCCTTTGTTTAGCATTGGTCTTAACATAAATCACAGCTAGTCCTTTCTGCTTAGCTCTACAGCAGGAGTGCTGCAGTCCTCAGATTTAGGTCTAAAGTGCTAAACAATGCTAAATTGCCAATAACACATTTTCACTAAAAAGTATTTAAAATACTCTTTGTCATATGGACAGCTCTCTTCAAAAGTTCTGTTCTCACCTTTGAGTTCAAAACCAGGGAAATGGTGACATTAGCATACTGTGCTGGGAGATGGATTTATGTATCAAAGTAAAGGACATTTTGATTTCAGAAAGTTTTGATAACAAAAAAAGTTGTATTTCATAGCAACAAAACAACAAAAGAACACAACCAGGAATCAAATTTTTATTTTTTTTAAAGGTAAAACTAATAATGTTTCAGGAATTCCTTCAGTGTTCAAAGCAGAACAGTTAGCTGTTAATAGTTGAAAGGAAGCTCACAGTAATTTCCCGGCCAGCACTGGAAAGAGCAACCAAGAAAACTTGGAAGTGAATCATTACAGAGTTCACTTCTTCTTATGACCCACCAGGGGAACAATCTTTCTCAGTGCCCAGAGACCCAGTAAAAGACTCCGTCCACTTCAAACACTGAACCATTGCTTTACAGGAGCTCAGAGCCCACATGTGACTCGCACTCTGTAGAGCACACCCAGGCTGCTGGTGCCCAGGCACAGTACTGGATGTGGTCTTTAGCTGTGGGACCACTTCCCACTGACCAGCACATGGGAACGACCCTTCCAGCTGCACACTTGGACCCATGCCCGCTGGGAGCAGCCCCTGCAAGTCAGGTACCACTAAATTAGACCTTTTAGGAAAAATGGTACAAGCCACTTTATTTTTATTTTTATTGGACTGAGTCAGGCTTGCCAATTTTTTTCATTTACCACCATAAAAAATGGGGATGAAATGAAACAAAAACTAACTTTTTACTGAGTGGGAGACAAATATGAAAATGTAATGAATAGAACACTCTATTTCTCAAATATTCCACTAAACATGTAATCCAATCCAGCCTTTACGCTTCAAAGCATGACTTGTACTTCACATGCTTTCTAGGGCACAGAGTTCTGTGACACAATAAATACAGGCCACAGTTTTGAAATGTAGATGTTAAACTGGTTCTTCTTGAGGTCATTTATTTGGTTGAATTCCTTTTGAGTATGAAACATTCTCTAATGTCTGGAAAAAATATGGAAACATTCTCAGATGAAAGGTTACATGCATTCCAGAAAAAATTCTCCTGAAATCTAAAGGAACTCTTCTTGGGAATGCTGAAGTGCAAACTCTTCATTTATGCAATTTTAATATGGTGGAAAGAAAGAAGTGTAAGCTATTAAGTGTGTTTTAAAGCTTAGGAAGCAAATTAAAATGAAATAACACACATATTATTAACGAATAGCTACAGTGAAAAGTGTGTAATTACATGTTAATTAAATTCTCTCCTTATTATATCTGCAGTGCCTCAAAATGATGTTTCCTCTCTATGTATTCTCCTTGTAGCAACATTTCCTGAAAAAAACCATTGGTGTAAAGCAGAAACTGTTAAATATTTCACAACTGGAAGAACAAAAGAGAATGAAACTTCAACAGGTTTTTTTTTTAATGTTAGGATTTCTATTCAGAAATAAACTGAACTTCGACATGTTTTGATTCTGTATCCTTCTGTTTATAATCTTCAACTTAAGCCTAAACTAAACAACAATGCTGGCAGAACACAGTAAATTTGAGGAACTGAGATGAAGTACTTCTAGGTAAATGTTAACAGAACCACTTTCCTTTATACAGAAATAATTATGTTCAGGCAGGGAGCCAGCTCTGTGCGTGCCATCCCCTACTGCCCCATTCCTGTGAAATCCAGCATCGCCTTTTTTATCTGGCTATTTACGATTTTTTAATTTTTCTGTTCTCCGAGTCTAAGCTTCTTCCTGCATTTGCAGCTTTTCATTTACGTCCGCCTGTAAAGAAAATCAGAAGAAAGAAGTGGTTATGATGGAGCTATCTTGGGCTGCACATTGTCTTTGTAGTTTTGACACACTGTAGTGCAGCAAGGCAGACATTATCCTACACACCTTCCTGTTTTGCAGACATAACGGTGTTCCAGCCTGGACTTATGTGATAACACGTTATCACATTGCTGTGCACAATCCCGATGTATGGCATGGCTGCCATCAGCAGGAAGTGATCTGGGACAGCCATTCCTCACATAACCTTGTCTTGGGAGAAAGGATGATTTGCCTGTATTCTCAGACAGCCTTTACCAACAGACACCAAACCAGAAAGATTGCTTTGGGATTTGGTTGTTGCCACTGTTTTCCTTTGCTGCAGATGTTTGTTCTCTAGTGTAATGTGTTTTATTGAAACATTGCTGGAATTAGAAAGCATTACTGAAAATGAACAATAAAAAAACATACTTCTGTGATGCTGCTTCTCTGACTTAATTACAAGCAAAATTATGAATGTGCATCTCATTCCGGAAATTCAGACTGCTGTAGACATGGAGCATTTAATTTGGAATGTAGCATTTGTGGGGAAGGTACAAGGGTTGGGACATATTTTAGCGAAATCTTCGGCAGTGATAATGTTTAGCAATCTCTGATTCTATGGCATTGGGAAATGTGGGATCACTGGATAAAGGGCCACAAATACTGGGGGTTTATAGGCAATTTACATATATTTCTCAATATAAGCATTCATTACTCCAAAAATACAAGAGAGACAGAAGGAGTGCAATGACTTTAAGAGTCACAAAGTTTTGCTCAGACAAGTGGAACAGGCTCAGAGGTCCTTTACAAACTCTGCATAAACTATTCCGAAACTTAAGAGTTGCATTCTTAATGGAATTCAGGCAATTTTGATAAAGCAAATGGATTTGTCCCAGAAACACGTAACATTTTAGGGACTTTGTGTCTTGTCAGTCCTAGAAATCCCTACCAGCGCTATTCTGCAATCTATCAACAGATGACGACAGTTAAAATGTTTTCAAAGTTCTCAGTAGCTCAGACTGGAACCCCCTTACGTTATGTGTGTAAACTGTGGAACACTGATCCTTAGGCTAATCCTCTTCTACTCTCCTTCACTATGGCTGCTGCTGAGACCACTGAGTGATATCAGAATAAAAGTTATTTTCTAGACTCAGTTAGAGCAACAGCTGCCTTGTTAATGCATATGTTAAGACACAATACAGATTGTGAAATCACAGTTCACACATAACAAAAAAATGGTATGAGTTTGATCATGTATCAAGTAAAAATCTCATTATAAGATGACTTCAGAGGTCAAGAAACTGAGAAAACAGGTGAAAAAGATACACTTGTGAAAGACTTAAAAACTGAAGGGAAATTATTCTCTGTGTATACACCCAGAGTTGCAAAATAAGAAAAAAATAAAGCCTTTTTCTCATCTGTGCAGTTTTTGTAAAGAAAAAACTCTTAGCACTGACACTGATGGCATCAAAGTCAAGTGAAAACCAGGAATTTTATTTTTTTTCTACAGGTAGGGACAGGAATAAGACAACAGAGGCCAGAGGTTCCCTCCTGTTTCTAAAGACATGTTGAAATGGAGTATGAAATCAAACAGGTAGATCTAATGATGGCATCATTATTCTTATCTATATTCTCCATTCATGTGTAGTCTATGTAAAAGAATTTATCAACATCACACTATTTTCAGATAATATTAGCTATTTCTTAAACTGCTGCTTGGTCAATAGTGTCTAATGTGCTGTATCTAAAGTTCAAAGTGCCACCTGGTTGTTGCAAATAAGACCAAATTCCCGCAGTTCCTTGGTGGAACTCTGTTCTAGCCAGTTTGTTTTCAGTAATTTCTTATTTAAGTTCAGTGTCAATAGCTTCCTTCTCTTTCATGAACCCCACAGAAAGAAATTATAGACCCCTCAGGGTCTGTAGCCCCCATACTGACACCTGATCTGTTCCATTGAGGCAGCTCTTTACAGTCACGTGCCAACCAAACAAAGCCTAGAACTGGCATAAACCTGTTTTTTCTTACACAGATTGAAGGATGTGTAACACAGATGCATCAAACAATTTATATTAAGCACACATTGCATGTACTCCATCACAGCAGCTGGTCCTGAACCCCTGAGAAGGAATTTTATCACTGACATCACCGAGGGCAGGATTTGGCCTGTGTTTCTTGACACATAGTAATGCTGAAGATATATGTTGTTATATTACTGAATATTTTTTATCTTATCTCATGTAAGCTGACTAAACTAGGAGTTATTTATAGAGGCTAATTCACATTTTTACAGCATATGGATGTGCTTTTTGCCAGCTTTAGCACGAATACAGTTTATATTCATTAAGGCTGAGCTAGCTAATTAACCATAGACAGAATTAGTGAATAGCTTTCTAGTAATAGTACCTCAAGGTTGCCAATAATTTCATTTGGGATTTCACGCTCTGCAGACTTCTGATCTTCAGCAGTGACACCAGCCACAGCATCTGCCTCGGAGGACTCTACCTCTGGACAGGGCTCTTCCAGGTAATCCTCCTGAGCAGACCCCTGGCAGCGACCACCCACAAGAAACACGTGAGTTAGAACATCATCCTGCCCTCCACGAGACCAAACAGCACCAGCCAAAGACATGCAACAATACATGGAGCTGCTTTCGGGAAGTGCTGCTCTGACAGGGACCAGCAGTCCCTGCATTGCCCAGGCTGGCAGAGAGGTCCTGAGGCGATGAAGTTACAAGGGGGGAGAGCCCAGAGGTGATGACTCAAATAAATGTCCTCTGCTGACTGATTAATGCATTAAAAGTAATTTTATTCAATCTTAGAAGAGAATGCATATTATATTCTGGAGAATAAATGTCATCAGTGACTGGGCTCCAATGGGAATTCATAGGAAAATAGCTCACAAAAACCCCAAAATAAATTAAAAGGAACAAAACCCTACACCTGAGATTCTGTCGCTGCAGCTGAGGAGGGAACTGCAGGTTGGTCAAGTTCAATCCCATCCTCCTGGTGCTAGAAAAAAAAAAAAAAGAAAAAGAGTAATTCAGGTTTAATCATTACTCAGAGGTTTCTTGCAGATTTTTTAAAATGGAAATAAAATGGCTGGCAAGCAACAAAAAACAATACCTTTTCTGTTACTATCCAGGTGCTCAGAACTGGAATGCATTCTGAAAATTACTATAGATCAGCTTTAATTTCTAGCTGCCTCTCAAGGGGCCCTCTTTATAATAGTTGGAAAGAACAGATGATTTTCATAATTTCATAACACTACAGCTTCTTACTCATGTGGATAATTACGCTCAGAAAACACGGTGCTTAGGTAACATGCTGTCTTCCCAGTGCCAATTTGTCACCTCTGAACAGGGATCTTTTTGCAGTTTGGAATTGCAGGGCTCTACCAAAGGAGTCAGCTGGAGTAAAGTTGTAGTGACACTGCATCAAGTAAGGCCCTAAGAAAAATATTTTAATATGTGACTATAATTTAAGAGCTGCTAATGGTCCAAGTTTTGCTGCTTCACATCAACTTGCTCCTTTGCTGAGAACATGGGAACCTCACTGGTATTGTGCTGGTGTGTGAGCTGCAGCTCCAGGAATGCTTGGAGGGAATGGCTTTTCCCCCTCAGAGCAGCTGGATGAAGAACCTAGTGCTCAGGTTCTCAGGAATGATGCAGAAGGCAGCCCCATGTCCTCTAAAGGGACAAGGTTTTGTCTCCTATTTAAAAAAAAAAAAAGGATGACAGAGAACATATGTGCCAAATAGGGCAAAAAAAAAAGGCATATCTGAACAAGCAAGGAACAGGGAATAACACTGAAATTGTATGTTTGGGGCCTCTGAAAGGGGAAGTGCCCATCGAGAATACGAGGCAGATGTTCCAGTTCTGAGTCAGCGATTACAAACAGGATTTTGCTTGGATGGTGTAAGTAAACGACATTAATTCACATCAGGGTAATTGCAGCTCCCATAAATTAATTTCCTCATGCTTTTGAAATCATGGCTAGGTTGATATTTGGTTTATTTAGTTACTTGCTACAGTTACACATGCTGAAAATATTAAAATATTCTATGGATCTACAGAAGTGATAGCAAAAATTGAAAACAAAAAGTGAGACCTAGCCACTTTATTACATTAAAAATCTCTTTTGTAGTCCTAAAAGCTTTTCAGAACTTCTGTTTGGACGTTGTCACTATCTTCAAGATTCCTTATCATGTGTGAGCTCGCTAAAAAAGGCAGATAGTATCAGCCCATGTTTATAAGAACCCAAAAGGCTGACAGAAATATTTGCAGATAATAAGTGGGGAGGAAAACAGGTTTATAGAAGCATTTTCCTCTATGGCTTGTAATTCAAATTTTCAGCACTGTGTTAGTGCCTACGGACTCACAAAAGGAATAGCTAGAAAGTTTGGGGTTTGCAACAAAATTAAAAAGCTGAGCTAAACTGTATTTTTGCTAAAATAAAAAGATTCTTTGTTTTCAAATTCTATTTTTTTAAACTAGAGCTTTTTTGATTTAGCAGCTATATCCATTTTCCCTGATTTCTTACCTTATATTTTCTTATTAAAATTTTAGCTGAACTAGACGAGAATTCACAATTACTTTCTGCTTCCTTAAAGCCGTATTTTTTGGTTAGTTAGTTACCTATTCACTCAAAATATTTTCTTTATTTAGACTAAATCATTATTACATTTATTCCCTCTGGTCCAAATTTAAAAAAAAAAAAAAAGACCCGGTTTTTAGAATCAGTTCCAAGCTGATCAAACACATTTTTGTAGCATGGATAAGATTTTCAGAGGTTCTGTTTTTTTAGAATAATATTTTTACTTCACTGCATCTTTTTACAGAGAGCCATTCTTTAGTCATCTGTTCCATGTCTAATAATAACCCTTGGATCATTAAGAAATAACTAAATTACAGCAGAACTAGTCTCTTTAATGAGCCATAATAGTCCCAACATTCAGCCAAAAGTTTTTTTTAAAAGACTGTGCAACTTCAATGTAGAATATGAAGCATTTTGTTTAGTAATAACAAGTTTATGAGCAGCACTACAGTTTACAGCCAAAATATAGTGACCTAAAAATGCCATTCTGCATTGCTCCTTCCTATACATTGTGTCCTTAACAAGTCCAGGGGAAAATTAGAACGAATGAATTGTGGTGAGAGCCTGAAGCCAACAAACGTATTTAAATGAATCCTTCTGATGCAATACTTTCCTTTAAAAAACACAATTAAGTCTTTGTGTTTCCTTTGAACAAAACCTCATGTTTAATAGCACCAATGGCTCTGTAGTAAAATCTATTTAAAAACAGAGAAGGAGACACAGTAAGTTTTATACAGTTACAGTGGCTTTAAAAAAATGTTGCTGGTTTCTGAAGTCTGAGTAAATTTATGGTGAATTACTTCCACTGACCTACATTAAAAACTTCATCCTCCTTTTTTTAATTCCTGAAGATTTGTCATTATGTGAGCATTATTCACTGTGACAAAGATGTATTACTCAAAGTGTCCTCTTGAATCAATATAACTATCGAAATGTGAGAAACAGTTTGGCAAGATGATAATGCCTTAAAATTAATTGGCAATATTTTCCTGCACACTGTGGTCCGGTGGGTCCACAGGAATTCAGACATGAAGGAATTGTGAAGCAATCGCACAAATGTAGTTGGCATATCAGTGTCAGCTGCTCTGAAAGAGCTGGAGGGAGAATTAAGTGCAATATTCCTACTAATTCCTGGGTGTGGTGGGGTGCCAAAAGGCCACTTGAACCCAGACAAGTTGGAGCAGGCTGGAGGCTGAGCTGACACCCAGCAGAGGTTGGTTGGCAAGTGTCGTTCAGCGTCACCTTCACTTTCCCACCCCAGTTATATCAGGCCAGCTGAGAACTGCAGGCACTGCTCTCCATGGACAGCCCCATGTCACAATTCCACTCTGGAATTCTTTCTAGCACAAGTGTGCATAAAGAGACTGAAGTATAAAAAGTGTAGTGTTGTTCTGTACATAAAACCACATACTTGTTGTTCACGGCTAGCAAATTGCCTTTTTACAAATGTAGGCAGAGAAAAGACAATAAAATAGTACACAGGAAAATTTCTAAAACAGGATAATGGCAGAAAAGAAGATTGGTAAAGCATTCTAATAGATGAGTTCCACAGATGTGGTAGTTATTACAAAATTAGCTTTGCATAACTTACCAATATACCATTATATTTCCCCCCAGATGTTATCTGTTACTTAAATTAATTTTGCTTAAGTCACTATTATTGCAGATTTTATCCACGCTGTGTTTTATTATTTAAGTTTCTGTGGCATAAAACAAGCTCTGGCTGATAGCATTATTTTTAATAATATATATAAGAGGTTTTAGTATTATAGAAATGGCTGCTGGGTATATCTTAATAGTCATAGCACAAAATGTCTGCTCTCAAAATATTATGTAGATTAAAACCAGCTATTTACTTACACTCTAATTCAAGTCATTGGAAAGGTTTGCAGTTTTTATGTACAAGATATGAAAGGAAACAATCTACTTCAGGAATAAATATCAGAGTTTGGAAATTAGCAAAGCTAAGGTCAAGGTTAGTTTGGATTTACTAACATACTTGCTGAAAATGAGAATTTAGAGTTTATGTTTACTTATTTCATACACGAGAAAAGAGACTGAAGGGGTGGTGCATTTGCCTCTAATACATGGCTTTTGTATCACAGAAACATTTTGAAACCACCTTCTAAGCTTAATATTATCTGAAATTCTGTACTGCTTTCCACACAGTCTTAACATAAATTCTCTGCAGTTAATCTTACCAAACATAGGAAAATAATTATTTATAAGGACTGAAAAAAAAAAATCCCATGTTCAGCATGGGCCATTTCTAAAGCCTTGTAACATCTTTCAAAGCCTTTCCATGGATATGGATTTGATTTTATATGAATGACAGATGCATTTTAAAAAGGGAGTTCTTTGTGTATTATTCTCTATATTCATATCACCTCCGTAGTTTCCAGTTGTAGGCCACAGGATCCTGTGCTACCAGGGACCTCCACAGATTTCTCTCATATATATGTGAGATTTGCTATCAAACAAACTCAGTAACACAGGATTTACATTAGTTTGCTATTCATGCTGAGCTTGCCCAGCCACACACCTACAAATGTGCTGAATTTCAGTGGCTGGAACAAAGGCGCTTACAAGAGATGGTTTGTTTAGGTGCCTGTATTTCATGTGGTTGGATTTGAATGAATACCTAATGGACAGAGATGCACTGACTCAAACCAGGTAGCCTTTTTTCATCCTTCCTCTTTAACCTGCCAGCATATGCAAACACAACAAACCCACCCCACCTGCCTGCTGAGGCATCGCCCACCAGCGTTCCCACAGGAGGCTCCTGGGAGGCTGCTGGTACCTCCACAAATACACTGGCCATCCTATTTTGCAGCAACACTACACATAAGGATTTTAGGAAGCGCTCAAAAACTTAATCCAGATTATCTGATCACTGTGGTGTGACAAAGATGGCAGAGCTTCCTTCTAAACGCCCTCGCTGTACGCAATTGTATTAATATTAAAAGTAGAATAAAGATCAATGAGGGCCTAAAACTCTGCCTCTGAAGTATGTTCCCGAGTTGCTAATGATGCACATGGAAATTCTGTGTGCATGTTCCTGGGCAGGAGTTTTCAAAACGCTATTCCTAAATGAGACAGAAGTTCAGTGAGTCAAAAGTAGGCATTATGCTCTTTTTCCTGCATTTCAAAATCTAAGTTAATATGTTTTAAAGAGAGTTTTCCATGTTCCTGAGCTGAGATGTGAATTGACTTTGTTGACAATACATTAGTAATTAATCTAGTCCAAAATAGCTATCTGAAGCAATTTGGTGCCCACATTGACAAAACAGGATCTCCTCCTTCCCTCAGGAAGCTGTAAATCAGTCAGTGACATCTGGCCTCAAGGACATCAGAGTCATCTGAAATGCGGTAATTTATATTAATGAACATCAATATTAATTTTTAAATAAAAAGAA